CAATTAAACAATTATTCATGTCAGATTCTGAGGTAAGAAAAAGGCTGCTTCAAAGGGTCCACTTTTAAAGTGAAAAGGAGTTGAGTAAAAACAGAGAGCAATATGTAATTTCCTTCTGGAATATCCACTCCATATGGCCCAAAGCAAGAATTTCAAGCTCATCTGTGGGGAGAAAGAGACAGAAATATAAACGTTAGATTTTTTTACTCTGATTTCTTGCAGCCATCTTCTGAATAGCCGATGGAAACCATCCATTCCTCTAAACAAAAATGAACTAAGACACAGAAAGGATGTTTTCATCTCTGCATGTAGGAACTGTTCAGTCATGAACCAATGTCTTTTTCCAAGAAGAAGGTGCCAGCAACAAAAGTCATGAAAAGGAAATTGAACTTTAGTAGTCTCTTCACCATCCCATCCCACTTCCAGGTGCCAACACCAGAGACAACTGTAAGATACAGTGAAACGGAGGTACTGGTCCACGGCCGGGTGGTCAGCAACTAGGACTCTGGGTTCCCTGCCAGAAGAGACGTGAAGTCAATAGCAAACCCAGCCTGACTGCAAACCAGCACCACCCCCCACTCCGCCTGCCACCGCCACCCTTCCTCATTGCCCCAGTGCCTCCCTCAGCTTGTCACTTTTGCTTCCAGGGGGTAGAAAAACTTCCCAGACTTGCCCTGTTGAGATGACTGAGCCCACAATCCACTCATGCTGTGACCTCTACACAGCCTGGACCCTCGCAGAGCAGCCAAACACACACAGTCCTGCAAACAAAAAGAATTTCAAAATAACTCCAACCTTTTACTAATTTTCCTAAAAGCCCAAGGGGATCCCCACCCATAGTCCACAGCATACTTTAAGACAGCATCCTCTCTTGTGTATCTCCAGCCCTCCCCATAGTTTCTCACACCACGATTCCACCCCAAACTTGTCCACACACCCAGCCCCCAGCCTCTCTTCTCTCCCTCTCCCTGAATCGTACTCCTTCCAGTTTTTATTACTGTAGCTTGACCAAGTGTCTGAGCAGTGAGGTTACTTCTTTGTTGGAGAAGGGAATCATGAGCAATTGGGCTTGGCTGTGATGGAATGTTTTTGGCAGGCTGAAGGGGTGGAGGCTATAAACGCCATTCCAGAACAAGGGATTGCATGAGCCTTGAATTCCTTCAGCTCCCCACCTCCTCATTTCATCAACCTGGGAGTAGTGACAACTACAAAGCCTGAACTCCTGCCTAGACTTCTGGGGGAAGTGGTTGCATGGAGCAAAGCTTGCTTTGAATCATTTGGTGAATGCTAGAGAAGGTTCTCTTACCGTCTCCCTGTCCCCACCGCAGCCTCATCCCATGCTGTCATTGAAATCTGCTTTCGCCTGAGCAGAAAAGGGTGATGATGGACAGCTTCTGCCAGCGGTGAGTTTGTTCCAAGCCCACCCCACTGTCCCACTCCCTGAGAGTGGCACAGGACTGCAGTACTCGGGGAACTCTGCCCGCCTGCAATTGAGCTGGTCAGCAGTGCTCACTCCTGCAGTCCTTCTCATTACATCCTTGGGGAGGTGGACGGGGTGGAATTGAAGAGGAATAGACCCAAAGCTGGGTCTTTTAAATTTTTTTTCATTAAACTTTAGGGACAGACATCACTGTCTGAAAGTATGATTCAAATGAGCGTTTGCTCTGCCTGGTTAGCCTTGCTGTAGCTTGTGGCTCTCAGAATTAGTCACTCATGCTCTGCTGGGAAGGAGTTGGAACTCCAGAAACCAGGGGATTGCGGAACTGGATTATAGAACACTAAACCACAGGGGAGAGGGCAGGGAAGCAGCCAGCACCCTGCTTAAAGGTCACGAAGCATTATTTCTACTTTAATATCCAGAATCCAAGTGGAAACAAACTGAGAAGGTTAAGATCTAAGTGAAAAATTCACTGAGGACAACTCTGCCCTTAGGATTGTCTGAGACGTGCTCGCTGCAGGAGAACGCAAGCCACCTTAGCTCGCTCTCCATGACACAGCTGAACTAGGAGCAGGCATCAATAATGATAAACAGAAGAAACTGCTCAGTATTGGCAGAAAGTGCCAATAAAAGTTGGTGGAATTCCCTTCCTTGGGGATTCAGAGTAGGACAGATGCGTGAGTTAGGTGCAGACATACTGGGAACAACTGTGTTTCCCTGAGACCAAATTGTAACTTAGATCTTTGGGCCACCACAATCTGGGTGGGTCATTCTAGGGTGCAGGATGCAATGACAGGCTAATGAAAACCCATTGGCTCTGAGCCCCCAGCCAGAAGAACCGTGAGTGCCCTCAGCCTCCTTTCTCTTGACTAGGTCTCAAGGGGCTCATGTCCTGTCTTTGGTGATTTTACAGATTTCTTGGCTCTTCCCAGCCTGCCACTTAAGGGCCTTAATTTGCCACCACTTCTGCTGCCAATGGTCACTCCTGCAGCAGTGTCAACCTGATGGCTCTTTCAGCTGTTGACACTGGCCATCCTGCTCTGGATCCTCCACAGAGGGAAGGCACTCTCCTCTCCAGCATTTTAATAAATGAGAGGGCCTTGCATTCCCAGTATGTCATCAAACCTCCCCTGGTTGAAAGAACTGGGAGGACACCTTCCCCAGAACACCCGACACACCACTCAACCCCAGTCAACTCATGTTCCAGGACAGGTGCTATGAACACCAGCAAATATATAGCAAGTACTTTTGTGTACTAGAAACTGTGCTTAATGTTTGCATAGATGGTCTCATTTCACCTTTACTTCAACCTCATGAGGTAGGTACTATGTTGTCCCTACTCTACAAATGAGGACAAACACTTTCAGAGAGCCAGCTCCTTGAGTCTCTGACCCCAAGCTGAGATGGTGGGATGATTCGGTGGTTCTTCCATGTTTAAGAAGACTTTTCATTCTGTCCCATCAGGTGTCACTGGGTCATCAAGGCACTGGTTCTCTAGTGGATATCACTGGTGTGCCTGATGTGTAGGTGGACATTAAGCCTCACTACGTTACATGTGCTGATAGCTCTTGGTTTTCTTTTAGTTGTAACACAATTTTAAAATGTGAATGAAGGCTCAAGAAATAGGGAGATGCAATCTGAACAGTAACAGTAGCTGGGATATTGAGTATTAAAGGTTGCTAAGCTCTATTCTATTATGAGGGCTCAGTCCTCATAACAACCCTAGGAGGCAGGTACTATTATTATCCCCATTTTACAGGCACAGAGAGGTTAAGTAATTTGCACAAGATTGTGCAGCTCATAGAGAAGCCAGTCTTCAAATCTAGAAATAGTGTGGGCCTTTTCCTTGCACATGGCAGATGCAGCAAGGATTTCAATCTTCTTATATGTTTGTTTGTTAGAAAAAGAAAAAATACACCAAAAAGACAAGAATTAAAATAAGACCCGTAACAGAGCTGGCCAGTCAGTTCAGTTGGTTAGAACATGGTGTTTATAACACCAAGGTCAAGGATTCAAATTCCTATACTGGCCAGTTGCCAAAAAAAATGTAAAATAAGATCTATAAGAAGTAGCTAAAATGAAGGGTTCACATTCAGTGAGCACTGTGAGCCCCGGCTTTGGCTTGGTCCCTTCTCTGTTGAGTAGTGAACATGATACTACACGTAAAAGTGTAACAACATTTAAAGAGGCAAGGGCCTTAGGAAGAATACAAATACAGTCCTGTGGGAGCCGAGGTGACAGAGAGGCTCTGTGGAATCCGGTCCCCAAGAATCACAGGGATCTCCATGAATGGAGATGGGAAAGACAGACAGGAGCTTTCTAAGCGGAGAAAGAACTTCAAGGTGGAAAAATGTCCTGGGTCTAGAGATAGTGAGTTACTGAGATCGGATGAACCAAGCAGGAAGTAATGGACGATTCAAGGAAGAAAAAAATGCCTGGATTTATCAGAACTAGAAGCAGGTAAAATTTAGCAGCATTTCCAGCACATGCATGGCCTTTAAAATCACTGGTAGTGGCCCAGAGGGCAGAAGAGGTAGATGTCTGGATGTCCTGGTTTACACCTGCTGTCCTGACATCCCATCTGCTTAGTGCCCCCATCCACTCTCATGAGGGTCCCTTCAGGGACAATAAATTATATGGGCATCCTGTATCTGGCAAATTGAAAGGTAGGGCCCAACACTTAGGTGTGTTGAAGGTTCTTGAGAAGTCTTGTTTTAAAAAGTCCACATCCCAATGCCTTGCTAAGAGTCATAAAGAAGATGGTGCCTGTACTTGCAAACAACTACCACCACAGTTGGTTTTGGAAGCCCGAGTCAGTTGTTCTTCCCCCATCCTGTTTGGCCTGGGCCCAGTTTGACCAAAATAATCCAGCCAGTACCTGTCACAAAGATATGCAGGAAAAGCCAGCCCTTTGATGAATAAATAGTCTCCCATTTATCCGCAGTCAGTGTACAGCAAGGAAAAAGCTCAACACAGTTAAAACACACACTGACACAAACTGATGAAGCTAATTTTTATCCAAGACCCCTTTGAATTTCAAACAACAGAATTCAAAGAAGTTAATTAAAAACACATGGAGTTGTCAATGAGTTTAAAAATAAAACAAAATACTTAGAAACAATGAGACTTACAACTCTGTGGTAGACCAGTTAGCTAGTTTTTTGCTGCTGTGCTAGCTGATTCATATATGAGCTAAATTGTATTTAGGAAAGAAAAACTGCAAAGTGTTCACAGAATAGAGAAAGCAACAAGGAGGAAGCAGCTCTAACCCTCCTTTCAACTTGAGATGGAATCTGTCCACAGGGCTTCCTTGGGGGGCGGGGCAGTCTCTCAGAGAAGTTGATTTAGTTGATTGATGCTGTGCTGTTGCTGGGTTTTATTACTACATGAAGTTGAAAGGCCTCATGTTAATGCATCTTAAACTTCAAGACTTGGAAAGCATGCTCACATTTAAACTTGACTGTGCTGGACAGTGTGTTTTGTTTGGCTTGTGTGTTTCTGCCATTTCCTAATGCATGTGGTATGCTTTGAGCATTGCAGACAGTGAAACTTGCTTTTTCTCTGGCTCTCTTCTGATTCTTCTGTTGCTTGTTTGTTGAAAAATGAACAAATAATGATAAAAATTATTAATAAAGTCCCACCTCCAAAAGCCTTATATTTAAAAGAATATGGAATGAAAACAATGAAAATTAATCAACTTGAACTAATTTTCACTATGAATAGAGAACAAAGAATTTAGACCTTCCCTGATTTTGGATTCCACATTCCAAACATATCATAAGTAAAATATGGCCAGCTGCATGAATTGCAAGCTACATACCGTGTGAGTTACACACACAGGGATAGGTTGTTTTAAAAGTTTCTGCCAGCAAAGTCAGAAATTCTTATCACCACCTTTAACCCTGTCAAACAAAACCATTCCAGATTGTGAGGTCAGAGATATTTCATGGTACATTTTAATATGAAAGTTTAAAATTTGTACTCCAGAGTAGGGTGAAACCTGATTATATTCATTTACTCTCTATTAAGGGCATCACATCCAGCTATATTTTTCAGGAAAGAAAAAGCATGTCACTTCCCTTGTACATGTATCATCTAAATGAACACTTGGAAGTTGGTATTAGGTGTCAATGAAATGTCACATGACAGAAAATATATAAATACATAGTTGCACTCCTGTGGATGCATATCTTTTTATCCTCATAAATATTATGAATACATACATGAAACATCTCATAAAAGAAATCCAATATATTTTGAGACACTGGAAGTCTGAGAAGACTTCACTTTTGGGAAGAAAAAAAGACCTTCAAATATATTTGCTTTAGGCCTATGTGATTCCTGCACACTTAAATGTAAGTTGAAATGATGGCATGAAATGATCTAATAGAAATGCCTAAGGGAAGCAAGAAACTATTTACTTAGTCTGGTGGCTATTTTCATAGGCAAGAAATGCTAAAGATATTGAGTTTATTTCAAATACATACCACCCTTTATTCAGACCTGGGAATGGTGAAGAGAGAGCTCCTGGGTCCAAGTTTAAGTTTAAACCATCATAAACAAATACATGAATGACAAACGAACTCTGACTGTGTGCCAGGCACTATTAGATGCTGAAGAGATAAATGAGCAATACTGTAGTGGGTTGAATGGTGGCCCCCAAAAAGACATGTCCACATCCTGATCTCCAGAACCTGTGAATGTGACTTTATTTGGAGAAAGGTCTTTGCAGATGTAAGTTAAGGATCTTTAGATGAAATCATGCTGGTTCAGTTATGTGGGCCCTAAATCCAAAGACAAGTGTCTTTGTAAGAGATACACAGAGGAGAAACACACAGGGGGAAGGAGGAGAGGGCTGTGTGACGATGGAGACAGAGGTTAGAGTGATACAGCCATAGCCAAGGAACACCTGGAGCCACCAGAAGTCGGAAGAGGTCAGGAGGGATCCTTGCTAGAGTCTTCAGAGGGAACACAGCCCTACTAACACATTAACTTCAAACATCTGGCCTCCGGAACTGTGGGAGAATAAATTTTTGCTGTTGTAAGCCACCAAATTTGTGGTAATTTGTTAGTGCAGCTAGGAAACTCATACAAGTAGTATTCCAACATCTAGGTGCTTTCGGGACAATAGGCAGGACAGGGAAGAGTCAGATAAGACTTACTTCCTGACAAAGAAAACAATGGGCAGACAAATTTAATCGTATGTGTGACTTTTTAAAACTTCAAGTTGCGTCAGGACTCTCACACATACCTTTTCCTAAGCACACTGTTTGGGATCCTCCAACCCTGGGTGCTGGAGTCCTGGGCTGTCTGATCTGAAAGGTGGCCTTGCTTCTCTGCCTTTCCAAGCAGTGCTTTAGGAGAGGCTTTGAAGAGCAGACTTGAGCAGAAAGCCATGTCTCTTATGTGCCATTTGTCTACATCAGACGTGGAATGTGGGACTGGAAAAGAACTGGGCATGTTGGGATGGCCTCAGCTTGGGCCTGGGCCACGCCCGCTGCAGGCACTCACCATCACTGGGTGGGTCTGTTGGGCTGGACCGAGGGCCATGGCACCGGCTAAGGAAGTTCTTGAGAGAAAATTCCTCCAGGGGTAGGGTTCTTACCCAAAGGCCCATAACCTCCTGAGTTTGACTTTGAAATGTTAACTATATGTGCACATTTCTGAGGGAGGGTTTGGGACTTTTATCATCCTTTCAAAAGACTTCACGGCTCCTGAAAACTTAAGAAACTGTATCCTAAGAACCCAGAGCAAGATTCAGTGAGCTTGACCCATTTAGAAAAGCCTCAGTTGTCAAAGAGAAGCAGGATTCTAGATGCAAAGATGTGTCTTTTACTTGATGAGGCTCCAAGAGCCTGTTTCTGGGGGCAACACTGGGTCTGAGAGAAGGAGAGAGACACCATAAAAAAAAGAAACCTGATGGCTGGTAGATGGAGGCCCAGGCAGCCCTGCTTCGGGGCCCCCTCTCAGGGGCTTGCTCAGCAGAGAAAGTCATTCTTCATCCCTCCGCCCAGCCCCCTGCAAAGCTTTGGCACTGAGCTTGCAGTAGCCACCGACAGGGAACGCCTGCACCCTGCAGAATAGGACACATGCAAGATGCCCCAGAACTCCCAGAAACTGGGGCTAGGACTTCAGGGAGGCCGCATGTTCTGCACCAGCCTAGGGGGATGATGGAGTCAGCAGAATTCCAGTTTAAGCTTATTGCAAACTCATTCCTACCCACAGACACAGGAGCAATCAGGTGACACACTGTGATGAAAGATGACACAGGAATTGTACCCTCAAAGGATTATACAGATAAATTTATGTCAATCAATTCACAAAAAAATTGGTTTCACATTTTAATATTTAGTCCCATTTGAAAAATCCCCTAGATTCCTGCTCAGATTCATGTAGCCAAAATGGTAACAGTAACACCCATACCCTAATGTGCCCCAGATACTGTGCTTTTCCCTGAGCATTGCAGAACGAAGAATGGATCTATGTGAATGAAGAACATCAGGGTTACAGGAATATGCCCAACTCTGCCAACCACGACAGGACCACAGTTCCAGACTCCTGGTAGACCTCTGCTTGGTGCATGAAAAGGTGGGCAGGGATGCCACCCGCTAGGGCTGGGGCTGCAGGTATCTCTGTTCCAGACTGCTGAGGTTTACCCAGAGTCTTTTCACTGAAAAAAACCCCCCAAAACCCCAGATCTCTTCTTAAAACACTTGCAAAGAAAAAAGAAAGCAAATGCATGGTTTTTGTTGTGTTTTGTTGTTTTCTATGGTCTCTTCAGAGGCAGGTAAAGACTAGAATACATATTTATTTAGACGGGGTTTTTGCTAAAATAGAAAAGGAGCTTAGGGAGTTCCCATTTTGTGATTTGTTTAAAAAACAAAAAAGCTCAAGCCTCAGCCCTAGTTTCTATTGAAACAGAGGGAAAAAATCAGAAAGGAGGAACTTGCGGGGAAGTGGCGAGCCTGCCGCCTCCCTCGGGCCCACTCTACCCGTCACCATGGAGACTCCCAACGTTCCGGGAATGACTCACGCGATTCGCGGGCGAAGCCTTTGAAATGGAAGCAGCGCCGAGCACAAAGGCAAACTGAGTCTGCAGCCCTTGAAGCCACGCCGCTTCCCGTCCTCCAGGCCCTCATGGTGTAGGGACAATTTGCTCCCGAGAGCAGAGGTCAAAAAACGCTTTTGCCTTGGATAGGGCCCGTCCACCACGACAGGAGCATTACCGATGTAGGAGCCGGGGAGGGAGGACTCGAAAGGGGTGCGGGGCCTCGGATGCGACGGAGGCGGCCTTCGGAAGCCCCGGGCTGCAGAAAGGCTGCTCTCCGGCGGCTGAACCTTCCTCCCCGGCTGCCCTTCTGCAGCATAAAACTCGCTCCTGTAGGTCCCTGCTGAACTCACGAGTGCAGCTGAGCGTGAACTCGGCTCTGGTTTTACCTCCACTGCAGCAAAGATCTAAGGTCCGAGAGCCCCAGGAACAGCCTCAAAGTAAGGAGTCATTCTCGGCCCACGGTTTTAGCAGCCGAATGCTTCTAAAGGCACCCCGGGGCCATCTGAGGTGCGGAGAAAACACGCCCTCCTCCCCGCACCGCACCCCAGGGTTGCCATGGGTGTGTTTCGCTGGGAATCCACACAGGATAAACACGGGCATGACCCGTGCCCTCCTCCATAAACCCCTTGCCACGTATCTGGGGTGCTTCTTTCCTAAGGGCCTTGCAGATCTCTTGCCTGGAGTTCACACGGATGCTGAGTTTCCCGGGCACTGCAGCTACCCCTGGGCGCCACTGCTAACCCAGAGGGCCTGGAGCCCTCCTTGTCAAACAGGCCTCAGATGTGGGCATCGGGCTGGCCTGTCCCCCAATTCGCTGGGCACGGCCATGCCCACCAGTCACAGTAGAAAACCTAAGGAGGAGAGAGACTTCTGTGGTCAGGCCCAGGCCTTGTCTCAGACTCTCCAACAGCACCGAGTCTGAGACTCGAGGTTGGGCCAGGGCTGCCTCCATCACACTTCCCTAAAACAGAAGCTCATCAGGATTCCCTAGTCCAAAATGCATAAAAATTATCTCCTTCCCTCCCTCCCTGAGGAGAACCAGTGTGAAGATGTGTATTCTTTCCTTCTCTGCCCTAAATATCCATCCTGGTGACTGCAGACCTGCTTAACCATGAAAACAAATAAGAAATAAAGGTCTGAGCAAAAGCCGCAGTCGCCTCCTCTAAACTATTTATTCTGATTTCTCGACAACTGAGTTAATTGGATGGGCCCCTGTGACAGACATTCCATACTAAAATTCATAGCTTTCTGCCAAAACAACATATTGTGTGCTGCTATATTTTCCTTGTTGGAACTGGAGCTGACGTGGGCCCTGAGCAGTTTTATGCAGTAAAGGGAGACTGAAGGTGCGGAAACAAAGGCACCGCCTCCTGGGGTTCCAGATCTGCCTGCCCCCTACCCTCTGCAACAGCACCTGTTTCCTTTGCCTTTTTATTTTTACTGAGGTTTTGCAGGGATTGAGTTCAAAGGGAGCCACAGGGAGTGAAGAAACAGATGCTGGTTTTGAGGCATTACCAGCTGGGACCTCCCTGCAGCCTGGGAAGGACTTGGGCTTTATAGAGGCAACTCAGTGGGGCATGTTACCACCAGGCAGCCCTGTCCCCTGTCTCTGTCCCTATTCCCATGTGCAGGGCCCATGCAAGGCATGCAGGTCACCCGGATTGCCTGGACAGCGCGGTGCCCGCTTTCTTGCTTCCCCTGGGAGGCAGGGCTGGTCCCAGGGCCTGGATGGGCTCGAGGTCACCACGCACATGCCTGCCAGCCCTCCTGCAGCCTCTAGCGCTGTCCAGGGAGTTCCTTTCGCTCTCAGCAAAATTCAGCAGCTGCCTCCCATGACACAGTGAGTGATGTTTCCCTTCTGTGACATTGCTCTTATCATTTTCCGGGATTTTCTGTCCATCTCAGCATCCACCGTCCCTCTCCCTCCCAAGCCCTTTCTCTGATTCCCTCTGACTCAAGGAGCACTATGATGAGATGCCAAGGCCCCCGCTGTCCTCCCGATACTTGAGGCTGCCCTCATGCCCCCGTCTCCATTCTCTGTCGTGAAAGCTGTTCGCACAGAACAGGAAGAGAGAGGCCACTACCTCCCTGATGTGGAACCTTTGCTTCCCACTGCAGTCCCCAGAATGCTCACCAAGCAGTCAGCAAGCAGACACCATACTGGAGTGCACCTACCTGCACCTGCAGAGCCCCTGACTCCGCCCCAGTGTCCCTGACTCCACCTCACTCAGCCTCTGACTCTACTTCTTAGTGCCCTGACTCCACCCTCGGTGCCCCCGACTCCACCCTTGGTGCCCCCGACTCCACCACACAGCGCCCACACCAGCTCACTCCAGTGTGGACCACTGAGCCACGTGGGTTCCTCAAACCTGTGCTGTCACTGTCTCCCTGTTCACCTCCATGACCTCATATAGAGTGCTTCTCCACAAACCCTAGAAGCACCTAGTAGCATCATTTCCATTCTAAAGGTGACCACAGTTTGCTGGTCTCATTGGACAGGCAGCGGCTCAAATCCAGGGCCCTGAGCTGGGCTTCCATGCGCTTCCCAGCCCTCCCAGCTGCCTGGAAATACAAGCCAGCCTGGAAAGCAGGTGTCTGCGTCTGACTGGGGGCATTCAAGAGTGCAGATTACCCAGAGGGAAGAGGTAGGAGGAGACGGGCTCCCAAAGTGACAGAGGAGCTGAGGAATGCAGGTTAAAGGAAACTTTTTAAAAGAAAATTGACTCAACAGGAGAAAAAGACCCTAGTTGGGAAAAACGTTTGCTCCCAGGGAGAAAATGTCTCAACAGGTCACCTGAAACCAGCTATCATTTCTGAATAGGGCTTGCTCCTATCCTGTCCTGGTCTCCAGCTATTTGGGGCTGCTCGACTTTGTCCTAGTTGGTATTTCATCTTAAGAAAGTCCTTTGGTTGTTGCATGTGTTTCTGTTTGGGCTCCTTCATCAGACTGTAAACTTCATGAACCTCATCATTTCCATTTCCCTGTTGGTTTCCATAAAATTCCTTTCTGCAGGTCTTCCCGCAACCTCGGTGGGTGCACCTTCTCCGATTTCTTTCCTGGCCTGTCTTACCGTCGAACCTCTGGCCTGGGGTCTCGGTCCTCTGGAGGTCCTTCTTCTCTCAGGTTGCACTCTGTGTAGGCGACCTCTCACATGTCTCCAGCCGAGAATCCAAAGCCACATCTCAACTTCCAATTTCACTCTCTTCCTCAAAGTTCTGAGGTGGTTTCAATTCAATATGTCCTAAATTCATCAAACTCCCTGTCTCCTGTTGGAGACATTGATCCTGTTCTTTCTCTGGCATCACCAGTCCTGACTAATGGCTCCATCATCCACCCAGTCACCCAGAAGCCTGGGATCCCCCTACAATCCTCCCTCCCCACCATCCAAGCCCTTGCAGACTCACCTGGGGCCAGGTCCTGAGCTCACTCGCCCGAGAGCATTTCATTGACTCCTCACATAGCATTATGGGGGAAGCACCATTTTAACCTCGATCTTAAAAATGAGGATACCAATTAATAAAAATTGAAAAACTTGCCTGAAGTCACACAAGAGTGAGAGGTGGCATTGAGATTCACACCCAGACAAGCTGACCCCAGAGGGGACATACACACCTTCCCACAGTCAGCCAGCACCTGCTCTTCATAGTGCAGAGCCCCACGAGGTAGAAGGAACCCATTTTACAGAGGAGAAAACTGAGGTTCAAAGCAGGTGGTGACCTGTCCTGGAGCTACAAGTCTTCTCATTCCTGTCAGCACAAGCTGACTTTCAGGGAATGAAGCTCCAGAGCATTTGACAGGCTTTCCTTTCGTTAAATGCCAATTGAGTTTAAAATTTCCATGGGAGTTGTGATTACTCCAGTGATGGTGAGCAGTTGTTCATTTCCACTGATTGAAAATAAGAAGAAGTGGTTTAAGTTGCAGCTTGAAAGATCTAAGCTAGAAACTAAAAAACAAAACAAAACATAATGAAAAAAAACCTTTGAGGTCTGGAGAGCTCATAGATTTTGGTCTTCGTTGCTAGGGACTCCCTTGCTCAGAGAGTCTATGCAAGCTCTCTCTCTCTCTCTCTCTCTCTCTCTCTCCTTCCTCCTCCATCCCTCTCTCAAAATAATTTAAAATGGCTCAGGGACCTGATATAGCTGGAATGATTTTGGAGAAATACATGAAGTCATCCCCAAAGCAGGCTGTACACAGGCTGGATGCTATGCATTTGTAGATGTATTTGATTTGGCACACCTAGTGTTCCACCTGAAAATCCTGATTTCTGGCTTCTTTTGAAAAACCAGTTGATATGACAACCTAGGGCTCTCTGCCCTAGCTGGCAACAATCCCTGCTAGAGCAGGGTCAGCCTACCTCCTTGGACGGGGACAGCATGCTCCACTTGGCCTCAGCCCCTCCAGCCAGCTCAACTACTGATGTTACTGCCTTCCTGGCCTCCTCAGGTACGTGAGTTGGTGACCTCAGATGACACTGGTAAGGTCAAATTTCCAAACATGCACCTTTCCACTTAGCCAAAGTCTGAGCTATGCCACACTTTGCTAGACAGCATCAGAGCACAGACTATAAGCTGAATTACTTTCGCCTTGCAGGGTCTGATTCCCTCACTCCCATTTTATCTCTCCATGAAAACATGGCAAAATCAAATTTCCTTCTTGCTTACCTTCTGGGAAAATCAGAATTATTCAGCAGGTGTTGAAATACAAACTTATTTCTTAGAATTGCCAACTTTGCTGCACTGAGTCACATGTTGATTTCTACCTAATGAAAAATCCAGAGCAGGCTGGAGTCTGACAGATAGAGCCCAATCCACTGTTTACTCTGGTGCTAATCACAGTCATGTTTACAGGAAAATGCCCTCATCTGCTTCCAGCAGCTCCAGCCACTCAGCCATGTGAGAGCTGTCTTCAAAGTCAATTGCCTGTCATTTTGCTGATTTATGTTGAGCAACTGCAAGGACCCCTCGAGGTATTTGTAGCTAGCTTGATGATTCCCAGCTTATAAAGTGGCAGTGGGCAGAGTATTTCAGTTCAAATTCCCATCAAGACAGAATTTAAATCCCCAGCCCTGCTGCTCATATTTGCAATGTGAGCACTTTAGATAAGCAGAAACCATCAAACCCTAAATGCTGGGGGAAATACAACCTGGATTTCTTCAAATGGAGCCTGAGTCCAAATCTTCTTTCAGACCTTGG